CTAGCGGTATGCCCTTGTGATGTGTAACATTATACGACAGTATAAATGAAACTAAGACTTAAACGTCAATGTTTTGGTTTCTTAATTAATATTCACACATCCCATGCTATGTTCGATAACATCTGTGCAATCGTCAGTTTGAGGAAGATACCTACCTTCACTCTGGGCAGCAGTGGAGTGGTCATGGTGGTGTGTTGCAGAGGTCTCAAATATATAATGGCACGGGGTCATTAATATTCTTCCAGTAGCGACTTCACCCGGAAACACAAGGAACATAGGTGAGGTAGGTATATCCATTGTCACATTTGAACAAACACAAATGATTAAACAATACCAGCTAACACGTTACGAACGATTGTCGACTAATAATACATTAACTCGTCGGCTCAAATAAATATATCATATTTGATGGTGTCTTACAATGATGCAAAGATTGTTATATTATTCGATGATGAAATATTTAATACCGTTTTCATACTTGTGGTTTGAACCTTAATTTTGGGTTTCTGACTTGTCAAATCTTTACAAGGTTTCATGTCAAAGCCAGTTGTCAAACAATCAGTTTCTCTTCCCCGACCGTTTCCCTTCATTTACGCGACGATATGAATTATATACAAGCGAGTCCGGTAATTCTGCGCAGCTGCAATAGCGTACTTATCGAAGTAAAAATCGTCTGCTACCACATTTACGCTTGAAATTGGGACATTTCTACAAGGGACTGGCTTTTAATCACTAAAGGTAAGTAATTGACAGATAAATTGACAGTTTGATGAAAATTCGTTTTCTTCAGACTTTTAAACCTTTTTCTTCATTATTCATAATTTGATTTAATATGAAACAGTCTTCCTTACATTGATGAAGTGATTTTTGAACATAATCTGGCCCTAATACGCTTCCATACTTCGGATCTCCAGCCGGGTGTTATGCGGATTTACCGGACAGCAAGCGATGTCGTCAGAACGCCGGTTAGGTCAACCGTATGGCATAATGCAACGTTAGAATGTTATAGTCAATAAAACTTATATTTCTAGGTAAATATGATGCATACCAGCATGTTTAGTCACGTAAACCACAAAATATAAGAGACGTTAGTTGCCGTGTTGCGATCGATGTGCTTAGGTGCGCGGAATCACCGGACGGCATTGTATATATTAGAGGTTGTGGTAAATGGGCAATGTGGTAAATGGACAATGGTAACTCACTGCAGGTCTTGAGATCCGCTATTCCCCTATAGTGACACATGGAACGAAAACCATAACACAAATTGTATCCAGTAACTGTTGTCAGACTATTAATGTGAGAGAATCTGTGTGAGTGAGTTAAACCTCACATCGGCAGTATTTCAGTCATATCGTGACGAGAGAAAATTTTAAGTTAGACTATTATAGTCACTCCAGTTGGGAACAGCGGTATCGGGTGCACAATATGTAACAATATTGCTTTGTCCTAAAAATGTTCAAAAATACGCTTTGGCCTGTTGAAAAAAAAGAATTACATTGATTCAAGGTGTTTCTTCCAAAGTTATATAGGATCAAGGTCTAAATCAATAATATGTCTGGTTTGGCATCTGTTGCAGACAACATATCAAGTCTCCACACACAGAATATACAGCTGTAGGTCAATATAATGCAAAATATGATAAAGGAGGTGTTTTAGGTGCACTTGATTTGAGCAAATGTATGTACCTTCAAATTTGAACTAAATGTCCGTCAATCAGCCCATATGATATGTTTCATATCCACAAATAACCCTCACACGTGTTCATCTTAAAGTATGATGACATTATTTTCAGTGGATCAATATGGGGACAAAACACATCCTACTGATCGTTATTCTCACAGGGTGTCTCCTCTGTCTTTATCAGTGGCAGAGCAGAAGTAATGTATACCAAAAGGTCAGCACAGCATGGAAAGAAACAATTTTACACGCTGGACGTCGTTCTCCAAACAGGCAGTGCATTGGCGGAACATCACAGCCAGAAGACATTCTATGCATGGTTTGTGGCTAGCAACAGAATAGTTTATGTTCTTTAACAATGATAATACAAGAACAAATGATTTATTTCTTCATTTTCGTGGTTAATGTCATTGGGATGACATAAGGTATATCAGTCACTTTAAACAGTCGTATACTATAATAGTAGCTTCAAAACTGTAAATGTTTCTTTTGTTGCTGGGGCGGTGGGGTAGCCTAGTGCCTAAAGCGTTAGCTCGTCACGCCGAAGGCCCGGGTTCGATTCCCCACATGGGTACAATGTGTGAAGCCCACTTATGGTGTCCCCCGCCGTCCTATTAAAAAAATTGCTAAAAGCGGTGTAAAACAATACTCACTCATTCGCTCTCTCATACAGGAGAGGCCTAAGTTCCTCCCAAACTACAAGAACCCTTGCTGGTACTCTAACGAATCTGGAAAACGCGAACTACGCTGTCTTCCCTACTACCATATTCTGGGCGTGAGCAAGTCAGGAACGCACGACCTCTCCAGTCGAATTAGGGCTCACGAGGACGTACTAGGCTGTGGGTACAGCAGTGGCAAGAGCATGTATTACTGGAGCAATGGTAGATATGGTACGTTCAACCTGTAGCTCAGGTAACTCTGATACTGTAACAGTCGCTTCAGAACATCTTTGCTGGGGCCTCTCCACAATAAGCCTTGGGCGTTGCTATCCCGAAAATATTATCAACTCTTGTAATGAACCAAATGCTAATGTCATCCTTTGGAAAACACTTGGCTGCTATATGCTATATGGGCGTACTTTTATAAACACTTTCGCCATACAGGAAAATACACTTCCAGTGTGTTTCGTTCCTCTACTGGGTAACTCATTCGACATCCAGTAGATATATTTTAAGCTGTGAGAGTGAGTGAGTGAGTTTAACGTCACAATGGCAATATTTCAGCCATATCGTGACGATTTAAGCTAAGACGTAGCATAGACAGTTTCAACTGGCTTATTCACTTGTTTATTGTAGGCTCAATTCATAAACTGGTTGTGGTGCATGTGAGACAGTTCATTTCGCTGTGTAGAGTTTAAAGCCATACCAGAAGCCTGTCCTTGAGAGTCCCTATTCCCCTGACGTATGGATCAGGGTTTGTCAACCACATACCTGTGCTCGTTGGCATAAACAAAGTGGTAATCACCTGAGACGTATCACATAGTTATATCATCCCATACTATGCTAACACGCCGTGATAAAACTGGCAAATCAATGTTCAAATCTCATTCTTTGGGGTGACTTCGTTTGTAGCGTACGTTTTTCTGTAAAAACATAGAAAGAAAAATATGAATGATTTATGAAGGTTTATGACGCCCGTCAGATAGGTTCACACACATTTGCAGCCGCCCAAAATAATGATGTTTATCGATATTCAGGTTTGACCCATCAACTTGGATCCATGCAGCCATGTAACTTCACCAGCTATACTCGAGGATTTCCTGCGCAACTGATTGAAGAGAATGTCACCTCTGCCAACTTTCATAATAAGATAACAGGTTAGAAAATAACATGAATTTGTTCTGTTACTTCAGTGGAACAGTTTGATGCATAGTGAACATTTAAGGATAACCAAAACCTAAAGGGTTGTTTCTGGTAATTAAGATGTGATTCTCCTCAGTTTATTTACAGAAGGTTATGAACGCTTTGTTGTATCATTACCTGTTCATATGTCAGTTCCATGGCAAACAGATGTCCCTTCATGGGCGTATTTATTGGTACCACTGACTGACTATGGTTTTGCGCCACTTATATTGCACTGTCTACGTACACTAGACATGCGTTGATTCAAATATAATTTAATGTGTAGATATATTAGTACCAAGTTAATCAATTTACGGATCGGTGTATCTGAAGTATAAGTGAACATGAAACCATCGCCAGAGGTATAGGGATAATTATTCATCCACCTTGACTTTGTTTAGATTCATATACTTCTACCACGAAATGCGCCCATGCATATGATTGCCCGTACCATAGTTCCAGGCAAAGCAGAAAGTAGAATAATATTCATAAAAGAAAGGCAAATTACATTTTTAGAAAAATATTTTATATGAACAAAAATACGCTTGACATTTGACGTGAACAAGATTGCTGTGATGGGTCAGATGGGTTTGAACTTCTCATATTAAAGGGGACCGGTGAAGATCCGGGTTAGAATTGATCTTCAGTAACCCATGCTTGTCGTAAAAGGCAACTAACGGGATCGGGTGGTCAGACTTGGTTCACACATGTCATCGGTTCCCAATGGCGTAGATCGATGTCCATGCTGGTCCAGACTCGATTATTTACAGACCGCCGCCATATAGCTGGAATATTGCTGAGTGCGGCGTAAAACTGTACTCACCCACTCACTCATATAAAAGGAACGCTACCATGCTATGGACTGCCATGCGATTAGATTGACAGGTGACGATAGGGTAAAATGTCATGTTTAGTAATCCCCAAAGCATTCTGTAGATAGTAATCTTCCAGTCTGGAGGATGAGTAAACATTCATATTAATCAGATGGTATTTGCTGAATGGAACTGTACAGACAACTGATAACTGCCCCTTGGAAGTCCACATAAATAAGTTATGCCGAATGATTATTGGCAAACTCACTTTAGTTACAAATTGTGACGAAACTTGCTGAGTGAGTGTCATTATACCCCAATGGTCTAGATTGTTGATAATGTAATGATCCAATTGTTTTCCTGGTCCAGAGGCACGTCTTTCATGACAGATCTTGATCTTACTGTTAACGACAAAAAGAAAACTCAAGAATTTCAAGAAGCGATCAACCTCCTACATTGTGCTCGATCTTGCTGCATCAATTGTGTACGATGCAAGGATATACGCAGGGAATTTATATTTTCTGAGACTCACATAGAAATACTTTACCAGACGACATTAAAATGATTACAATTTCAACACAATCCCCTTTCACATTCACAAACGTTTGCCAATGATGTTGGAGGTATTTTGTCCTTCTCATGTCTGTATCAAAGGAATTTAACAGTCGCAATGACGCCGTTGGTCGAGACGAAACTGGTTCAGGCTCTTTTTTCATTTCCGAACAGATGGAAGGACACAGAAGCCACAACGTTAGGTGGTGATGGAGTTATGTTCTTTGGAGGTGGGGAAACCAAATGGTGGACCTTACTTTCATCCGTTTTTACAAATGTTTGCAAGACACTTTCTTGATCAGCTTCCAACAGAGCTGTGTCACCATGAAAACATTATGATCTGACGTCAGAAGCCTTCGAACCTAACCACTAATTCGTCATTGCCATGGTATTTATTTGTGATGATGCCATCCCCTAGGAAATGCTAAGCAAGCAAGATGACGCTGGGTTATATCATTGGTCGGTCATCGTCACCTGCAGGATTCACTTAAGTATTTCTGGTGTTGCTGACATGACATGACATGACAGGCCTTCGACGATGTATACAAGGCTGTTCTTGCCACGCTTCTATTGTTCGAAAGTCACAGATCCTTGCATCTCCTACTCACATCTCCCAGCAAAAATGCTGGCTCAGCTGACTTTAATTCGTGTGGGAAAACCTCCGTGACATCATATGAGTTAGTGGGTGAGTGAATGAGAAGGGCTTTACGCCGCTTTTAGCAATATGCCACCAACATCAAGGCGGGGGACACCAGAAATGGGCTGCACACATGTGGGGAATCGAACCGGGTCTTCAGCATGGCGAGCAAACGCTTTAACCACTAGGCCACCCCACCGCCCCAATATATGTATTAGTATATATCTGTAATATATGAGTGAGTGAGTGAGTTAAAATTTAAAGTCACATCGGCAATATTTCAGCCATATCGTGACTAGTTTACATTCATAATACAATACATATAATATGTAAAACGCTGTCAACGAAGGACAGTAAAATTACTACATTATCACAAAATGAGTTAAAACTAGCTAGTATATATCTTTAAAAGTAGAAAACTATTTTCGGACGAGACAAAAATAAAAATGGGCTAGTAATCACCAACAACTAAAGGTAGATCACCATACTAGGGACCATGGGGACTTACAGTGCCTTTGCTACCTGCATGGACCCTAGCTGGATTTACACCGTCCCTTCAGCCATTGGCGTTTATGCTGAGATTTAGCCATACCTTAAAATGACAAAAATACTACGATTACAAACCTGGTAGATTAAATTTACTTGAAATGTTTTGGAACTTACGTACCCTCTCAGGAGGACAATATTTTTACTCTACGTCAACCCCCCCGAAGGTACAGCCATTCACAAATTCAGTTTCTCATATTAATCACCAATACAAAATGCATGTATGTACAAAACAGATGAATCAAAATTCATGTATCAGTTCTATTTATTCTAAAAAAATCGATAATAAAGTGATAATTGACATTATTAAAAAGATCCTTAACAGTTTTGACTTTGAAATATTTAAGCCTTATGATGGCAAAATCAACACAGTCAAGCAGGACATGCTTGACGGTGGTTCTCACCTTTTAACAGGTATTTGTGAGTATAACGCGTATGGCCAATGCGACATCGTCGCATAATGACCTCCTCAAAACTGGATTGACAACCGAAATAGGTGTAACCAATATAAGGTTTTATTGCATGTAATTTATTGATGCCTACTTGGGTGTCCCATTTCTTTTGTATCTAATGCTAGCTTTGTAATCAGAGTAAGGAATAAGAAGTGGTGTCACAGATTTATTGAGTGCTGCCTTGGCAGCAAGATCGGCCATTGTGTTCCCAGATATGCCAACGTGGCTGGGTAACCAACAAAAGACGATGTCGTTTTGGCCAGTTGCAAGATCATTATACAATCCCATTATTTCAATTAAAAGTGGATGTTTACAAGAGAGATTGTTTATAGCCTGAAGGCAAGAAAGAGAATCTGAAAATATGATATATTGCTTATATTTGGGATGTCTATTAATATATTTAAGAGCTATTAGTATTGTGTTGGCTTCTGCTGTGAAAATAGAGCTGTTATCAGGCAATCGAGAAGATATTGTTCTGGCTCCACTGTGATATATGATATACACAGTGCATGACTAACCCTTTTGACGTGCTGCAGGTGACGGGACACCGGTGGATTTCTATAATTTCATGAGATGGAAGAGGATCCCCCAAAATGCAGGCCTGAAAGAACCCGTGGTACTTAAACCACACCTGATGAAGCACGTGTATAAAGATCCCAAGTTCATTATAATTTTGAGGAATCCCACAGAAAGGTAAGCATCCAACCGATGCTCCTAAACGTACTGATGCATATATTGATTTCACAGTGAGTGTTTCAGTTTGTATTGTTTCTTTATGTTTCTATAAACCTTGATGCAATTGGGTCACACAGACAACATTTTTGTGGTTAGTTAATACTTGAGCTCATTATAATTAATATCATTGTCTTCATATCTTAAGTTAATGATTATGTGGACCCGTGAAGATTCGGGTTAGAATTGACCTTTAGTAACCCATGATTGTCGTAAGAGGCGACTATCGGGATCGGGCGGTAAGGCTCTCTGACTTGGTTGACATATGTCACCGTATCCCAATTGCGTAGATTGATGCTCATGCTCTTGATCACTGGAATGTCTGGACCAGACTCAATTATTTACAGACCGCCGCCACATAGCTGGAATAGTGCTGAATGCGGCGTAAAACTAACCTCACTCACTCTCTTATGATTATATGAGACGTCTGTTAAGGTATGTATGTTGGTTTAAATATTTTGAAGAATTACCTTCAAATGGAGGTTTAAATGCCCAATTAAAAACAGTAAATTCATATGTACCAACAAGGGCACGAAACGAACGATGCCACAACTCTTCAACGTGATGTTAGATCTGAACACATCACACTCCTGTCCATATGCTATTTGTCTGACGGGTGACATTTTTCATGAGTGTGGATTTAGGTGTTTGTAGATTTATTGTTTACATGTATTCCTTGGCTGCATATATTAAAGTTATATGAAGGAATGCACAGATTTTCATGTTAACTTGCAAGATGAAGATACAAGTTTTCAGACGATCGATGTAATTGTTTTCGCAATGAATTATGTTCTATATTACATCAAGTATGACAGTTTAATCGGTTTATTTATACACTTCTATGACACAAACAATGTTGTAATAATTACAGACTATACTCGGATTACATATTCCTGAAACATGGGGATTCACCTCAGTCATTTCATAAGGATGTGCTACGAGCTATTGAGATCGAGGAAGATTGTATGAGGAACAACTCAGTACGTCGGTGTCTGTACAGCTTGGATGTTTGTACACAACTTCCGGTAAGCCGCCTCCTTTTAGCACCACTGTCAAGTACCATTTCCAGTATTCTCACAAAAACATACTGATAATTGTTATACATGTATTCCTCTATTTGGTACCTTACATAAATGAGATTCAGTGCGCACACGTGATCTTCTAGGCATGTAAGGATTGACTTGCGTGCAAAAGGAAATTATTCTACTAAAAACACGTGATTTTGTGACGCATTCAACCCCTACACATTTCAATTGAAACCTCCAGAAAACAAATTCGAATCGTATAATGTGATAAACCAGATCAGTGGCCTAGTGTTTCGTTATACGTTGACCTCAACCGTTTTACTTTGTGCGGTCACGGAAGGTGTGTCGAAATTTAAACAAAGCATGGCGCAATGTTGTGTTGAACTGACCAATGATTTAAACGGTATATTAAAGGGGTACATTTAATAGATTACACAGATAACCGCAGAATGATTTTACTGACAGAGAAGGCCGACTAGCAGTCGATATTTTCCTTTGGTTTGGTTATAGCAATGGGTTGGATCGACGAAATGTCATTGTTCAATTTATTTCACATGGATCTTTAGCACAACGTCATTTTGTCGTCTTAATCATAACATTTCTCAACGGTGCATTGCTATTTGCTTGTTTCAGTGTCCTTGTAGCTTTATTACACACGCTTATCTTCTTCAGACACGCATTTTCATCGGATATTACTCAGTGTTCATGAAGGAATGGCTAAACGTTTTTAGTAGGAAACATTTCCTTGTCCTAAGGACTGAAGACTACAACAGCGACATGGAGGGTGCACTGCGAGAAGTATATGATTATTTAAATCTGAGTAAGTTATTTATAAATATATGTTGAACAGACTGTATTCATTATGGTAACCAACAAAATCGACAAAGAGCTCGTAAACAAAGCTGATTACTACACCGGAATTATCCGGATATATTAGGGCGTGGGGGCAGCTAAGTGATTGAAGAGTTCGAACGTCACGCCGAAGGCCGGGGTTCGATTTCCCACTTGGGTAAACATATTTGAAGCCTATATCTGGTGTCCCCGCTGTGAGATTGCTGGAGTACTGCTAAAAGCGGCGTCACTCGTAACTCTCTTACTTGAAGGATGAATTTTATTGCAGATTACACTGAAGATTTCCTGAATAAGATCGCCCGCATACCGCACATGCACGTCACTGAGAAGAAGAAGAAAGCTGGACCAATGCTTGAAAAAACACGTATATTGTTGGACAATTTGTACCGACCGTACCTCAGTGAGTTAGCTGACATACTCCAAGACAGGAAGTTCCTGTGGTTGACATGATTCACGGGTACAATATGTACAATGTAACAGAAGACGAGGCTGCTCAGATAAACAGATTTCATTTCATTTGTTCATTGATTCTGGCATGATGAGAACTTATTTGTCGCTTGTAGATTGGGATGAACGAACGGTGTCATTTAGAAAGGTGGTCAACAGAAAATAAAAGCAAGGAAACCCTCACCGCAAAAAACAAGAAACCTATGTCGATTGTATGACAACGAAAATAACAAACAGTGATAATACCAGGTGTTCATATTTTGCATTCTCCTGTCCATCACGTACAGATTCTCCTTATTGGGATGAGTTACCTCATCCTGGATTCGAACCCACACCCTTCAGAGTGAATGAGTGAGTGGTTTTAGTTTTACGCCGCTTTTAGCAATATTCAAGCAATATCACGGCGGGGGACACCAGAAATGGACTTCACACATCGTACACACCCTTAAGAAAGGCAGCTGTTCGCCAAAGCGATAAACCCCTCTGAGCCGTCGAGATTTCCACAAGCAATGAAAAAGAACAACGGTAGTCTGGATGATGTGACTTTTCTACCCCAGCACCTCCCTTCAAAGAGTTGTTATTTTACTGAGAAAGTAATATTAAGTTATTTTGAACATTGAACACTTTATACAATTAATGCATTGTGTATTTTTTAGTTTCGGCCATAGGAGCTGTGCCAGTTAACACTAAAGGGTCCACAAAGTACATGTCTTGACTACCAGTTGTCATACGATATTTTGGGGGAAGACATGGCGGCTAGGTCTGTTAGATCTGATGTTTTTTTACGACTGCATGTTTAAATCTTTCGATATATATAAGCCAGGACCGTTTTTCAAAAAACACATTTGACACTAAAATGTGCCGAATATTACTATAGGGTTTGGAAATTTGGGACGTTAAATAAAAACCGTGAAGACATTTAAACTATTCTTATGTTTTCATTTTCATGTTTTTTGTATGTAAAGCATTCATCCTCTGATCGTGCAGTTAGAGATGAGTGTGGAAGGTACATAGCGTGGATGTTCACTTTTGAAAGATACCTTGTAATTTATTGTTCTTAGACTGAAAAAAATGGAAAGACTAATTGAGTTTCAAAATACAGATATGGTATACATTGTATTTCGCTACATCTGAGAGCAGCGTTAATAATAGTGTGCAAAATAATGTTTCGAAGTTTTATCGGAATTTCATGAATGAGTGAGTGAGTTAAGCTATATAGCGGCATCCTGAAAATGATGATCAAGAGCATGAGTATCGATCTACACAACTGGGATACGATGACATGTGTCAACCCAGTCAGCGAGCCTGACCACCCGATCCCATTAGTCGCCTCTTACGACAAACATGGGTTACTGAATATCAGTTCTAACCCGGATCTTCACCGGTCCCCTTTAATATGAGAAGTTCACGGGTCCGCCACAGAGGGGGCAAATGTTTATGTCTGTCTCTCTCTCTTTATCTTCGTCTCTCTCTCTCTCTCTCTCTCTCTCTATATATATCAGTATATATTTTATATTTATGCCATTACTGTATATATATATATATATATATACATTATATATAAGAAAAGTGCGACTTTACACACACGTAGTCCACCGTTTCCACCGTTTCTCTCGATACACTGCTGAATACGGCGTCCCATGCTGTCGATCAAATTGTCTATGTAGTTCTGGGGTAGGCCCACCCATATTTGACTGATGAGATAAGACCACTCAACGACACTCTTCGGTTCCAACTTTTCTAATTTGTCCTTCATAATCTGCCACACATTTTCAATTGGGTTCAGGTCTGGTGATGCCGCTGGAGATTTCTGTAAGGTCACCTGACTCGTTTCAAACCGGTTACATGTGTGTATTGAATTGTGTACAGGTGCATTGTCCTGTAAAAGTTTGAAAGGTATTCCACTCTGTCCTATATGGGATTCCACTATGTCTTCTTGTATAAGTTGACAGTACTTGCGTGAATCCATCCTTCCTGTGATAGTTAGCAGCAGCGTTACCCCGAGTTTGCCTATACCACCTATGTCACCTATGACACTGCGTGAGAACTTCGGAACCATTTTGCAGCTACGTCCACCTCTTGACCACCTCTTTCTTGTCATCCTATAAAACTGAAACTTTGATTCGTCCGTAAATATCACATTTGAAAAGTCTGTACCACATATCTGGGTCCTAAACCCCAAAAGGCACATGCATACTTCCCTTGCAGGTATAGTTTGGAAGATCTGCTCCGGACAAGATGCACCACTCTCGAGCCTTTTCTCCATATGTGCTGTTGTCATCAATGGAACTTTCTTCGGCACTCGCTTGATATATCCAGATTGCTTTAAAGATCTTCTGATTGTCCATTCTGATACCTTAGGGGTTCCTTGACTTGACGCCTTCACGGCAAGCTGTTTTGCAGACCAGTTTGCGGACGCCACCGCGAGACGCGCGATACGTCGTCTGTCATTTGCCCCAAGAGTAGCACGACGTCCCGATCCAGCCTGTCGCTCTGTCCCTAACCCTGCGTCAAATTTCTTCAAACTTCGGTAAACAGAGGCCCGATGCAGTCCCGTCAGTTTCACAAGTCTAGTTACGGATGTAATACCTGCTTCATAATATGCCTAGAGTCGATTTCTGTTGTTTTGTAACGTCATGGCAAAGCTTCGGTATCGTCTGCTAGCAACGAGGTCACGTGATCAAGTCATCCCTGAACCCAAGGGAGATAATTCCATACCAACGAGGCAAGCTACTGGCGGCTAGAAACAATGTATTTCGGCTTTTTTGATAGTAGGATCGAGTCTACAGAATAAAGTTTGTTGTCGCATTTTTTTCTGCTCGTTATATATATATACAAAAAAAAGCTGCAACAGAAACGTCAGTTTGGAATTTTCCGTCGCAGAAAAGGATAACTGTAAACTCATTTAATATTTTATTTGTATATTGTTGACAACCTCTCCAACTTTACATGAGCAAAAACATTCCTTCCCAAAAGAATGGTCTCAAAAACGCAAGATCATCTCGGAGATGGTACGGTGTTCTCCATGATTTTCATGCAACTCATGCTGCACGTGCTGTTCACAAGGACCAGCCCTATAAAAGGCACCCCGAAACCTGGTTGAAACATTCACATTACGTTAGCAGGATGCCGCGACTCACGACAGCTCAGAGGAACCAGGCGCAAGGAAGACTCTTGAAGCTGGCCACACTACACAAGCCGTTGCTGATCACTTTCAGGTCATCGTTCGAACCATCTACAGGCTGCAGCAACGTTTCCGGGCCATCAACACCACAAATGATCGCCCCCGAACTGGCAGACCACAAGATGACAAGACCGCCATGTTGTTCGACAGCATGTACAGAATCCCTTCATCTAGGCATCCGAAACAGCACGCCAGACAGTGGGAACACACGGAAGACCAATCAGTACTGTTATAGTACGCCGACGTCTTAACAGCGGGAACCTCCATTGCAGTAGGCCTAATCATGGACCTATCCCCACCCCTTGTCATCGGCGTGAACGTCTACAGTTTTCCCTACAACACCAACACTGGCGATACAGGCAATAGAGAACAGTTCAGTTCACAGATGAGAGTCAGTACTGCGTACAAACTGCAGATTGCAGACCAAGAATATGTCCACGACATGGCAAGTGTTACTCAGGCCAATGTGTTATGGAAAGAGATTCATGGGGAGGTGCAAGCATCATGGTATGGGGGTGGAATAGGCCTGAACCAGAGAGTGGGTCCTGTGGTGCTCCAGAAGCTTGGTGCAGGGAGAGGAGGCGGCATCACAGCGGTGCGCTACATCGACCAAGCTCTCAGATCCCACGTCATACCACATTTCGCACGTCACCGGAACAACATTTTCCAGCATGATAACGCCCGGGCCCATACTGCCAGAGGTATATGAGACTTCATACAGCTGAACGATGTCAACATTATGCAGTGGCCAGCCCTTAGTCCTGATTTAAACCCAATTGAACATCTTTGGGATGAAATTCAGAAGAGACTGAATAATGTCATACCAAGGCCGAACACAGCCGATTTATTGCGCCAGTTTTTCTAAGAGTGTGTTTCCAGGTGCCAATGCCCTTCATCAATCGATTGGTGCAAGAGCGTAAAACCTTGTAAATATATACAAATAGAGAATATATTTTTGATGTCGCCCATACTGTGTCGCCCAAAGGTAAAGTGTACGGCGTACATGTATATATGCGACCTTTAGGCGACTGTCGCCCAAATGTCGTATATATATATGTCGCCCAATGGTCGCTTATGTAATATACATATATATATGTCGCCAAATGGTTGTTGTTTAATACTATATACGTGTATACATTTCTATGGCTGCTTATTTGATATATGTCGCCCTTTGGTTGTTTATGTGTTTCAGTGTCTTGCGCGTGGAGAAAATTGTATTTCATATGTGTGCATGAAACTGACTTTCTTGTTTCCGATGTTTAACATCGCACATACAATCAATTGATAGTTTGGAGAGTGAAGTTCTATGGTGCTTTCAGAAGCATTCCAATATCATGAGAGGGGAGACTGATGAATGGAGACTTAACATTATTTAAGCTACAGCATCTCAAGGATATTTAAATTGTGTCAGCCGAAGTAGTTGAAAACAGAGCGATCTTGTCACACAGTTTTTTTAAAAGACTTGTAAGCACAGAGTGAGTGAGTAAGTAGTTTTTTTAAATATTCCAGACTTTTGTCTTTATGTTCACTGAATATAAGCAGTAAGTAATAGAGTATTTGCTATTGTAAATATGTAATCTGAGGAGCATTTATTAATGTTTATGCAGCCTTACACACGGAAGCGAGGATATGGTGAGGTCTGTTATGTGGACCCTCTCTACTGCTGACATGATCACAAACGCACGTGAGCAATATATTCTTACAGAGACCAAGGTGTCCACCTCACTCTGAGATCAATAATCAGACAATTTTAGCTATCGTGCCAAATAGTGAGACACTTCGCGATACACACTTGTATAAGACATGGCGAGTAAAAATGTTAAAAGACTAGAAATGACCAGGTATATGTTTCACCATTCCATTTCACAACCAATATGTGCTTCAGCGATTGTGGATGCTGTTAAAAGTCATTCAGAGAAATGTGATACACTCACACTTTATCACTTAATTTTAACCCAATGTGTGATATATTCGGCCATTACCCAACAAACAGATTATATGTTTGCATATATTATTCGGCAACACATTCCCTTGTGTTTCAAATGGTTTCACATAAATGTGCTTTGTGAGTGACTGGAGTTCGGTTTTACGCAGCGCTCAGCAATATTTAGGCTATATGGCCTACGGTCAGTGAATAATCGAGTCTGGACCAGACAATCTAGTGATCAACAGCATGAGCATTGATCTACGCATTTGGGATACGATGACATGTGTCAACCAAGTCAGCGACCATGACCACCCGATCCCGTCAGCATGGGTTACTGAAGATCAATTCTTACCCGGATCTTCACGGGTATGTATTCAACATGTCAACAGTCCTGGGGATAAATAATATCAGACCAGCTGGACTGCTTCTACAATTTATTGTCCAACTAGTATACGCTGTGTTGGCCTGCAATGCTGCATGTGGTCAAACATGAAGGTCATCTACTTCTTGGCAGCAACACAGGAGTTACCATTGACGGTGTAGGCGGACGCTGCGGCCTGAACGGCACCCCTGCAATGTGAAGGTCCATCGTCAGGCAGGAATGAGGAATTATTACTTATGCCTTTACTCAAATTGGGAGTTACATTAATCAAGATTAATCAGTCCCTACCCTTCGTCCAAATGTTCATACCATCATATACTACCCATCAAAAGTTTAGACTCACTAGTGTAAATGTAGTCACTTACTTCAGTCAACTTTTCTAAACTAGATTTTGGAAAAGATTCCATACTGTTTAAAGGCACTGTTTACACATGAACTGATGTATTGCAAAACAAATTTGTAACGTTGAAAAGATTATTGTTATGATTTCAATAAATGATGAAACTCCGTGAAAATTGGCGAATTCCTAACGCAACTTTACATCAAACGCAGCAGTTCACATGTCCGATGTTAGCACATAATTTTCAACAATTTGATGCATGATTCTAGTGCAATTCATCTGCACACGGTTTGCAGTTAGTTCTCCCAAGTTAGTTTTGAAATTCATCTTTGATGTAACCATATATGCATACATAACATTATTGTGAGAGCTTTAAGTGAGTCTAAACTTTTGATGGGTAGTATATATTATCACAAACACTATTAGCAATGTCACCACACTGTACATCAACCTCATTAACTGTATAAACTCTAATATCCTTAATGTAAATATTCTTCTTGTTCATAATGTTGAATATCACTTGTTTGATAACGGAGTTAGCATCTACACCGAAACGTCGCATCCACTGCAATATTTTTGCTGTCAAATTAAACAGACATATGTTGATGACATATTGCTTACGTTCGTTATTTCTGACAAGGGGCGGCTTTTCAGTGACAGTCGAGATCATGGACATTATATTGAACGTTTTTTACTGTAATCACACAGAAGATAAAGACCTAAGAGTGATGTTATCACTTTTCATATAAACGTTGACAAGATGCAACACGAACGTTTTTAACCGTTGTATCAATCTCCAGAGGAATTAGCAGCTGTTTCTATGCCGGCGATAAATCACTATTTTCTAATCTGTTGTATCAGGGGTGAACTATACTTTGATTTGAGTGAATGAGTGAGTAGTTATGGTTTAACGCCACTTTTAGCAATATTCCATCATCATCATGGCGGGGGACACCAGAAATGGGCTTCACACATTGTACCCATGTGAAGAATCGAACCCGGGCCTTCGGCTAGACGAGCTAACGCTTAAACCACTAAGTTACCCCACCGCCCCTACTTTGATTTGAGACCCTTTGAGTCGGATGTCTGTGAGAATGTTGTATGGATATACTTACTCAACGCAGTTCAAACTGCAGGCATTTCCGTAGTAGTTGCCGGCGGTGTCACAGACTGGGTCGAAGATGAGGGGACAAACGCACTCACAGTTGACAGTGCTGGCTGTGGACCGAGATGGGAACAGAAAAATAAAGCTATAATGATACATGTCCCTCAATAAACACTATTTGTTTGCAATCATGAATACTTTTTTACATGGTACCCCTTGGCCGACACTTTGATATTTTGTCAAGATGACTTTTGACTACTAAATTTACAACGAAAGCTTGGTAGCTTCATTAGGGTGTTGTCGACACTTTCTGAAACCAACATCCACGGGTGTGATGGTGACAAGATAAGGCTCGCTATCAAGCCGAATCTGGTATTTACAAAAGTATCAGAGGAAAATGCACCACTGCTTCTGAATATATACATGTGAGTGTAACTGATGAAATGGGTATAAAACTCACCACATAGCACCACAGCAAGAACAGCAAGAATAACAGCAGCCTTCATCTTGATGCTTCTTTTCCAAACAGGATCAAAGTATTGAATGGATTAGAAATTCTCGTATTTATACACTACACAAACCTCATGAAATACAAATTCAAGTAATATATAGCTCCTCAGTCGATTTAAAACTCCATTTTATATCCCACAAATCATAAGTGTTTGCTTCAAGGAGGTTGCTGTGAGCAGTTAACGTTTCTTTGCTATGTAGAATCAACTTCACATCCACATAACATACATGTAAACTCTTGATCAGCATATTTTAACATTTCTTGTCTCAGTAACAAGGAGCTTTGTTTGAGTTGCAGGTGTTTTTTAACATAATGCCCAATTTTACATATTAACATTTCAGGGCTTGGAACATTCAATAACACCAGTCACACTGAAATGCGATGACGTTACCCTGGACTACTTTGACGCCTGTTACATCTGAACATGGTTTGTTGATTGTTGGAAAAAAATTGAAATCATTCTGGAAAATATTTGATTTACATGATAATTAATGAATGTGGTATCCTTTTCGCTGAATGGCATGATTAGTTTGTTTACCATATAAGTCAGGCAGTCAGATGGTTGGCTTTGCGAACAGGTGCGTGTCATGTCAAAATTAACCATATTCACACTTACCATACGAAACCCGCTGGCGGTCGTAAGGATGCCCTCATATTGCCACTCAAACATATTTCACAGAAAATAAGCCTTGTGATATTCACTACACGTAACTAAAACATCAACAAGCGAGTACAGTTTTATGCCACTTTTATCAATGTTGCAGGTTTATCAGGACGTTGGACAACAGATATGGCCTTCATATATTGTTCCCATGCGTGGAAGTAAACACTTTAGCCACTAGGCTAATGTACCGCCCGAATACATAATGGGAATTAATTAGAAAATGAGGGAGAAAAATATATTTAAACCACTAGGGAAAGTTATGTCCATTGTTCTTGGAAATGTTTTATTAGCATAACTGAATAAGTGCCCTAGGGCAATTATTTCTTTTCAAAAACAATGAAAGTGTACTTATTTTGATAATCTTCATCATGCCTAATACATTACACGCGTATTAAATAAGCACTTACCATACGAAACGCGCTGGCGGTCGTAAGGATGCCCTCATATTGCCACTCAAACATATTTCACAGAAAATAAGCCTTGTGATAAAACTACACGTAACTATAACATCAACAAGCGAGTACAGTGTTATGCCACTTTTATCAATGTTGCAGGTTTATCAGGACGTAGGACAACAGATATGGCCTTCATATATTGTTCCCATGCGTGGAAGTAAACACTTTAGCCACTAGGCTAATGTACCGCCCGAATACATAATGGGAATTATTTAGAAAATGAGGGAGAAAAATATATTTAAACCACTAGGGAAAGTTATGTCCATTGTTCTTGGAAATGTTTTATTAGCATAACTGAATAAGTGCCCTAGGGCAATTATTTCTTTTAAAACAATGAAAGTGTACTTATTTTGATAATCTTCATCATGCCTAATACATTACACGCGTATTAAATAAGCATGCCCTCCTGGTGTAAAGACCCGTGAAGATCTGGAGCAGAATAGGTCTTCAGCAACTCATGCTTGCCACAAAAGGGGACTATGCTTGTTGTAGGAGGCGACTAGCGGGATCGTGTGGTCAGGCTCGCTGACTTGGTTGACACATGACATCGGTTCCCAATTGATCCATGCTCATGCTATTGATCACTGGATTGTCTGGTTCAGACTCGATTATTTACAGACCGCCGCCATATAGCTGGAATATTGCCGACTGCAGCGTAAAACTAAACTCACTCACTCATTCACATGTGGTGTAAGCCGTTTAGTCACCCTCACTACGGTAGTTATTTAAATAACCACCTTGTAAGGCTGATAAACCTATACATACCAAGGTTGTTTTTCATATAAGAGAAAAACTGCAAGATTTATTGTTAAATTTAATTACTTAAAAAAACATAACCAAAACATTTTGTAAGAAATAATATGGCACTGTATAAAGTTGATAAAAAATATACTGGTCCAAAGACGATTGGCGTAATACAATATATTTGCAACCCACGAGCATTACATTTTCCCGAAAGAGATGTTATTATTTCCAAGAGATAAGATGTCAAGTAATCAATCACCTGATGTATATTTATTTGACGTCCATATCGTGGGCCAATATTGACGCCGTTTCATCAACGTCAACGTCTGCTGTGGGCCCAACGTCACCTCCGATGGACCCAGAGAGACTGGAATCGAGTCGTCTTTAGCGATGAATCCAGGTTTACCCTCAGATTCGCGGACGGCAGGCGTAGAGTCTGAAAGCGACGTCGTGAACGGTATGCCCAATGTTGTGTACAGGAAGTCGACAGATTCGGGGGCGGAAGTTTCATGGTGTGGGGTGCTTTTTGTGGGAACAACCGTTCCCGACTTCTGGTCATCCATGGAAACCTCACAACTGCTGCTTACCGCGACCAGGTGCTCACCCCTGAACTCGTTCCTTTCATGGCGGCTCATGGCCCAGGTCTACAGTTCCAGCATGATAATGCTCGGCCGCATACCGCGATGTTGACACGAAATTTCCTTCAAAACGCTGGAATCAACGTCATGGACTGGCCATCGAGGTCCCCTGACCTTAATCCAATAGAGCACGTTTGGGATGCACTTGGGAGAAGGCTTCGTGGTCTTAGGAACCAACTTCAGAATTTGCATGAACTTGGTGCTGCCTTGCAAGAGCAATGGAGCAGAATCCCCAACCACGTGTTCACAAGCATCAGGCAGTCGATGAGGAGACGGTGTTTGGCAGTGGTGAATGCGCGGGGCGGCCATACACGATATTGAACTGAGAAATTTCGCATTTTTATTCTTGTGACTTGACATTCTGTATACCCATGTTTTGGAACGGCGGTGTAGCCTAATGGAACTGATTATGGCCAATCAGTGTATCGAGTACATCACACAGATCTCAGGAATGAAGTAATAACAATTTAACCATCTTACCATCTCTTGTTCTTTTATAGTGCCCTGAAGAAAGAATGTGAAGTTTCTTTTTTGACTCAGTATCTATGTCGCCCAATGGTCGCTTATGTAATATACATATGTATATGTCGCCAAATGGTTGTTGTTTAATACTATATACGTGTAGACATTTCTTTGGCTGCTTATTTGATATATGTCGCCCTTTGGTTGTTTATGTGTTTCAGTGTCTTGCGCGCGGAGAAAATTGTATTTCATATGTGTGCATGAAACTGACTTTCTTGTTTCCGATGTTTAACATCGCACATACAATCAATTGATAGTTTGGAGAGTGAAGTTCTATGGTGCTTTCAGAAGCATTCCAATACCATGGCAGGGGAGACTGATGGATGGAGACTGAACATTATTTAAGCTACAGCATTGCAAGGATATTTAAATTGTCTCAGCCGAAGTAGTTGAAAACAGAGCGATCTTGAAACACAGACTTTTTTCTTCACTGAATATAAGCAGTAAGTAATAGAGTGAGTGAGTAAGTATGGTTTTACGCCGTTTTAGCAATATTCCAGCAATATCACGGTGGGGGACACCAGGAATTGGGCTTCACACATTGTGCCCATGTGGGGAATCGAACCCGGGTCTTCGGCGTGACGAGCGAACGCTTAAGCCACTAGTCTACCCCACCGTCCCAGTAAGTAATAGAGTATTTGCTATTGTAAATATGTAATCTGAGGAGCATTTATTAATGTTTATGCAGCCTTACACACGGAAGCGAGGATATGGTGAGGTGTGTTATGTGGACCCTCTCTACTTCTGACATGATCACAAACGCACGTGAGCAATATATTCCTACAGAGACCAAGGTGTCCACCTCACTCTGAGATCAATAATCAGACACTTTTAGCTGTCGTGCGAAATAGTGAGACACTTCGCGATACACACTGGCGAGTTAAAATGTTAAAAGACTAGAAATGACCAGGTATATGTTTCACCATTCCATTTCACAACCAATATGTGCTTCAGCGATTGTGGATGCTGTTAAAAGTCATTCAGAGAAATGTGATACACTCACACTGTATCACTAAGTCTTAATTTTAACCCAATGTGTGATATATTCGGCCCTTACCCAACAGATAGATCATATGTTTGCATATATTATTCGGCAACACATTCCCTTGTGTTTCAAATGGTTTCACATAAAAGTGCTTTGTGAGTGACTGGAGTTCGGTTTTACGCCGCACTCAGCAATTTTTAGGCCATATGGCCTACGGTCAGTGAATAATCGAGTCTGGACCAGACAATCTAGTGATCAACAGCATGAGCATTGATCTACGCAATTGGGATACGATGACATGAGTCAACCAAGTCAGCGAGCCTGACCACCCGATCCCATCAGCATGGGTTACTGAAGATCAATTATTACCCGGATCTTCACGGGTATGTATTCAACGTGTCAACAGTCATGGGGATAAAAAGTATCAGACCAGCTGGACTGCTTCTATAATTTATTGTCCAACTAGTAAACGCTGTTTTGGCCTGCAATGCTGCATGTGGTCAAACATGAAGGTCATCTACTTCTTGGCAGCAACACAGGAGTTACCACTGACGGTGTAGGCGGACGGTGCGGCCCGAACGGCACCCCTGCAATGTGAAGGTCCATCGTCAGGCAGGAATGAGGAATTATTACTTCAATAATAATTATTTCCTTCAATTGGGAGTTACATTAATCAAGATTAATCAGTCCCTACCCTTTGTCCAAATGTTCCCACCATCATATACTACCCATCAAAAGTTTAGACTCACTAGTGTAAATGTAGTCACTTACTTCAGTCAACTTTTCTACACTAGTGATTCTAGTGCAATTCATCTGCATAAGGTTTGCAGTTAGTTCTCCCAAGTTAGTTTTGAAATTCATTTTCAATGTAACCATATATGCATACATAAAATATAGTGAGAGCTTTAAATGAGTCTAAACTTTTGATGGGTAGTATATATTATCACAAAAACTATTAGCAATGTCACCACACTGTACATCAACCTCATTAACTGTATAAACTCTAATATCCTTCATGTAAATATTCTTCTTGTTCATAATGTTGAATATCACTTGTTTGATAACGGAGTTAGCATCTATCTTCAGAGGAATTAGCAGTTCTATGCGGGCGATAAATCACTATTTTCTAATCTGTTGTATCAGGGGTGAACTATACTTTGATTTGAGAGAGTGAGTGAGTGAGTATGGTTTAACGCCACTTTTAGCAATATTCCATCAACATCACGGCGGGGGACACCAGAAATGGGCTTCACACATTGTACCCATGTGAAGAAACGAACCCGGCCCTTCGGCGTGACGAGCGAACGCTTTAACCACTATGTTGCCCAACCGCCCCTACTTTGATTTGAGACCCTTTGAGACGGATCTCTGTGAGAATGTTGTATGGATATACTTACTCAACGCAGTTCAAACTGCAGGGATTTCTGTAGTATTTGCCGGCGGTGTCACAGACTGGGTCGAAGATGAGGGGACAAACGCACTCACAGTTGATAGTGCTGGCTGTGGAAAATAATGCTATAATGATGCATGTCCCTCAATAAATAGTATTTGTTTGCAATCATGAATACTTTTTACATGTTACCCCTTGGCCGACACTTTGATATTTTGTCAAGATGACATTTGACTACTAAATTTACAACGAAAGCTTGATAGCTTCATTAGGGTGTTGTGGACACTTTCTGAAACCAACATCCACGGGTGTGATGGTGACAAGATAAGGATCACTATCAAGCCGAATCTGGTATTTACAAAAGTATCAGAGGAAAATGCCCCACTGCTTCTGAATATATACATGTGAGTGTAACTGATGAAACGGGTATAAAACTCACCGCATAGCACCACAGCAAGAACAGCAAGAATAACAGCAGCCTTCATCTTGATGCTTCTTTTCCAAACAGGATTAAAGTATTGAATGGATTAGAAATACTCGTATTTATACACTACACTGAATTGCGATTACGTTACCCTGGACTACTTTGACGCCTGTTACATCTGAACATGGTTGTTGATTGTTGGAAAAAATTGAAATCATTCTGGAAAATATTTGATGTACGTGATAATTAATGAATGTGGTATCCCTTTCGCTGAATGGCATGATTAGTTTGTTAACCATATAAGTCAGCCAGTCAGATGGCTGGCCTTGCGAACAGGTGCGTGTCATGTCAAAATTGACCATATTCACACTTACCATACGAAACGCGCTGGCGGTCGTAAGGATGCCCTCATATTGCCACTCAAACACATTTCACAGAAAATAAGCCTTGTGATATAACTACACGTAACTATAACATCGACAAGCGAGTACAGTTTTATGCCACTTTTATCAATGTTGCAGGTTTATCAAGACGTAGGGCAACAGATATGGCCTTCATATATTGTTCCCATGCGTGGAAGTAAACACTTTAGCCACTAGGCTAATGTACCGCCCGAATACATAATGGGAATTATTTAGAAAATGAGGGAGAAAAATATATTTAAACCACTAGGGAAAGTTATGTCCATTGTTCTTGGAAATGTTTTATTAGCATAACTGAATAAGTGCCCTAGGGCAATTATTTCTTTTCAAAAACAATGAAAGTGTACTTATTTTGATAATCTTCATCATGCCTAATACAATACACGCGTATTAAATAAGCATGCCCTCGTGGGGTAAAGACCCGTGAAGATCTGGAGCAGAATAGGTCTTCAGCAACTCATGCTTGCCACAAAAGGGGACTATGCTTGTTGTAGGAGGCGACTAGCGGGATCGTGTGGTCAGGCTCGCTGGCTTGGTTGACACATGACATCGGTTCCCAATTGATCCATGCTCATGCTGTTGATCACTGGATTGTCTGGTTCAGACTCGATTATTTACAGACCGCCGCCATATAGCTGGAATATTGCCGACTGCAGCGTAAAACTAAACTCACTCACTCATTCACATGTGGTGTAAGCCGTTTAGTCACCCTCACTACGGTAGTTATTTAAATAACCACCTTGTAAGGCTGATAAACCTATACATACCAAGGTTGGTTTTCATATAAGGGAAAAACTGCAAGATTTATTGTTAAATTTAATTATTTAAAATCATAACCAAAACATTTTGTAAGAAATTACGGAAGCGTCCTAGTGCCACAGTCTGAATTTTTTTATCACCTTATTAGGACTTAGTATCTCCTAATTAGGACTTACTATCTCCTAATTAGGACTTAGCTATCTCCTAATTAGGAGATACTATCTCCCAATTAGGAGTTACTATCTCCCACTAGGTGATACCATCTCCCCACTAGGAGTTACTATCTCCCACCAGGGACTTAGCTATCTCCTAATTAGGACTTAGCTATCTCCCAATTAGGAGATACTATCTCCCAATTAGGGAGTTATTATCTCCCAATTTGGAGATACTATCTCCCAATTAGGAGTTACTATCTCCCAATTAGTGATACTATCTCCCAATTAGGAGTTACTATCTCCTAATTAGGACTTAGCTATTTCTAATAAGGAGATACTATCTCCTAATTAGAGTTACTATCTCCTAATTAGGTGATACTATCTCCCACTTAGGAGTTACTATCTCCTACTAGGACTTAGCTATGTCCCACTAGGACTTAGCTATCTCCTAATTAGAGATACTATCTCCCAATTAGGGACTTAGCTATCTCCTACTAGGAGATACTATCTCCCAATTAGGAGTTACTATCTCCTAATTAGACTTAGTTATCTCCTAATTAGGAGATAGTATCACCTAATTAGGAGATAGTATCTCCTAATTAGGAGATAGTAAGTCCTAATTAGGAGATAAAAAAATTCAGACTGTGGCACTAGGACGCTTCCGTAAGAAATAATATGGCACTGTATAAAGTTGTTAAAAAATATACTGGTCCAAAGACGATTGGCGTAATACAATATATTTGCAACCCACGAGCATTACATTTTCCCGAAAGAGATGTTATTATTTCCAAGAGATAAAATTTCAAATAATCAATCAGCTGATGTATATTTTGTGCAACATATGACATTATTTATAAAAGTTCTAAATCAAGGTATATGTCCTTTTATTCATGTAGACACATTCTTTGGACAGTTACTGATAGCAGTACAGCTCATTCCAGCTCATTTGTGTGATGTAACATCACCAACATAAGATATTTTCAACTGAAAACAAAGACTATTTTGTAAAAATGCAAGGATGTATCGTTGTCTTCCTTGCCTGGGTATACAGGCGTTTAGTGACGGGTAATGACAGACACTACATAAAATACTCACAACAATCTGGTGCCTAGCACATATCGTTTTAACACGGCATAAAATTATAATTTACACAAATTACAACTAACTGAAAAACAAATTTAAACTACTGAGGAGACACATATGCTACTTCCAATATTAATATGGGCATGTATAGTGTATAATACCGTCATTTCAATCCAGTCGATACTTTGATCCTGTTCGGAAGAGAAGCTCTACTTCAAGAATCAAGATGAAGGCTGCTGTTGTTTTGGCTGTTCTTGCTGCGGTGCTGTGTGGTGAGTACAATCATTGTTTTATGTACAAGTCGATGCGAATTTTCAAAGGGGTCATATTTGCCTAGTGGAACCAGTTATGTTCGATCATAGGCCAGTACAATGCTGCCAAAGTGTGTCTTTATCAAAATCTGTACTGTTCTGGAACGTTTAATGCACAGGGGTTTCCAAAAACCAAATGAGTTTCAATCTCAGACATAAATGAGGTGAGCAGAGCTTCATCCCAACCCCAGGGCGTTGTTTTGACAGTTATATTTTATCAAATTATATGTACAAGTCGCTGTGAATTTTCCAAAGGGGTGATATTTGGTTGGTACAACCAGACATGTTCGATCATAGGCCGTTTGATTCCCCACAAGGGTACAATTTGTGAAGTCTATTTCTGGTGTCCCCAGCTGTGATATTGCTGGAACATTGCTAAAAGAGGCGTAAAACCATACTCACTCACTCGATCATTGGCCAGTACAGTTCTGCCAAGAGTGCCTTGAGCAAAGGTAGTAATGTCTTGTAACGTTTAATGCACAGCAATTACCAACACGAAATGATGTGAGCGGAACGGAGCTGCATCTCAACCTCAGGAGGTTTCCTACCAGCGGCACATCCTGCTCGCTCGTGGTCGTCGTTACACAAGCAGTCAGTATACCAGGCTGACTGTACAAATGTAAACAAGGAGATTATCAACTCTGGCTATAAGTGTCATTATATGAATTTTAAACAATGACACAATTGATGGCTGTGAAATGTGGATAACAGCATGTGAAACAGACTCGATGACCTTAGTGATATTTGACTTCATGTTGCAGAAAAGTCGGTCAGTCATGAAACTATAATGCACAAATATTTATACGTTTTCGGGACAGAGTGATCTGTGATCTTTGTCACGCTTTCAGGAAAGACATATCCTCTTGTTCCTAATGACAGAATGATCTGTGATATTTGTTACCCTCTCGAGAAAGACATTATGATATATACTTATGTTGCTATGAGAATTCCACGGCGAGTCAGGTTAAGATAAGCATGTCCAGGTGATGTAGGTCTGAGGCGTCTATCTTTGGTAAAACCAACGAGCACGCGTACGATGCTGACACATTTGGAACCAGGATTCGAACCTACAGGGTTCTGACGTGCCCAGTCGACGCAACTTTGCGGACGAGTGGAAATCTCTCGAACTCCAGCAATCTTGAAACCGTTGTCCCTCCAAAATGGTCATTTAAAGGATCAGTCAAGGATCAGTCAAGGTGTGGAAAATGTTTATTGTTGAGTTCATGGAGTTACCTGTATAATGTTTTGTTCACCTTCATCTTTCTTCACAGCCAGCACTGTCAACTGTGAGTGCCTGTGTCCCCGCATCCTTGACCCCGTCTGTGACACCGCCGGCAACTACTACGACAATTCGTGCATGTTGAACTGTGTTGAGTAAGTATGTCCATGAAATAATCTGACAGAAATCAGCCTGAAACCCTAGCGCAAAGAGAAGTGTGTAAAATAACGTTGATTATACATCTAGATGTAACAGGTTAGAATATAGGCCCTTTAATGAAGCCGCAGCAATGTATACCTAAATAGAGTAATGATGAAAATGTAAAGTGATAACACGACACATAGTTCTTATGTATTTTTATTGTGAATAACATACACAGCATAATACTTGTGAACTGAAGAGCACTGACATGTACGTCTATGTACCCTGTGAAGCTGGGTAGTCCAGTGGTTAAAGCGGTGTAAAACCCAACTCACTCACTCACCTACTCTGGAGATCTAATATTATCGATAGATAACGTGAAACGACTGAACCTATATCAGATCGTATCTCACTCACACACACACACACACATACACACACACACGCACGCACGCACGCACACGCACACAGAGAGAGAGAGAGAGAGTACTGAAATGTACGTTTATGTCTCCTGTCAAGAAACATGCGTTTGTCATTTCAATGAGAAGACTGAGAATTGAAGAAGCAAGTATCGTGGCTGGAGATCTAATCATTATGTACTTTACATTTTTTTTAGATCTAATGATATGGATAGATTATGTGAAACGATGGATCCTTATCAGTCCTTATTAAACACACACACATGCGCGCACGCACTCACTCACTCACTCACACACACACACACACACACACACACACACACACACACACTGTGTCATGAAACTAAATCGACGGAAATGCACCACTGATAATTCCTCATCCTTGTCTCACAATTGCACCTTCACATTGCAGGGGTGCCGTCCAGGCCGCAGAGGGCGCCTACACTGTCAATGGAAACTCCTGTGTTGCTGCTAGCAAGTAGATGACCTTAACCTTTGACGACATGGAACGTCTACGACCACAGAAGCACATATTGCCTGTGCAATAAAATATAGAATCAATC